TCCCTACAGGAAGCCGCGACCACGTGTCACGGGAGGGAAAATGGCTGCGGATCCTGTTCGTAACCCGATCCGGCGTTCGTGAACAGAGGCAAAATTTTGCGACCGGAGCTGTTCATGAACCGAATTGGTCGTGAACAGAAGCGTTCGTGAACCGAAGTACCACTGTATATAACCACTGTTGTTCATTATTCTTCATTGTCTTCTGGAAACTCCACCTAAATTGGTTGCCCATATAATGTTTTTTTCCCAAGAAAAACTTGGTTTGGTTCAGGACTGTCCCCATTATTTTTAAATGTTTGGAGTTTAAGTCCATGGGAGCAGCAGGACATCTGCCTGAGGTTCATGACATTCAAGAGTGGCTTTGGTTGTTTCTCACCAGCCAATCATGGGATGGTCTTAGCAAGTGACTTCTACTGACACCATTCAGAGATACTTTCCCCCTTTCCATTTGGCTGATCTGAAGAATTTTGGGGCATAATTTAGACCTACATGTTGATGCATCTTCCTTCCCTCCCCAGAACAACTGTGCTTAACATCATTGGAAGTTTTTAATAGTGGCTGCTACAATCCAGCCAGTAGCTCAAAGTGCTTGTGTTTTCACCAGTGAGACTTACTTGATTCCTTTCTGTCCTATTCAGAACTTGGTACCATTTGATTATTTTGGGAACCAATGAATTAAATGAAATATCAGATCTGAGACACAATCCATTGAAAAGTACCATCTTTGGGAAAATAGGTAACACAAATTGTCCAGAGAGAGTAGAACAGGCTCTGCAGTTGTTCATGGATTTGAAGTAGCCACAGAAGTACCAGAACATTCACAGCTATAGATGTGTGTCTGTCCATCTGTTATACGGCTGGACTGTCTATGTATCTGTCCATCGGTTTTTCTCTTTCTCTCCCTTCCTTTTTATTGAGGAAATAAAAACATGGTCTAAAGGCACATAAAGAAGTTTGTCCCATTGAAAACTAAAATGCAAGGGTAAACATTAAAACAGATTGTGCCTAGTAAATTATAGAAGCACTGAAAAACTGAAAGCGTGGCCAACCATGCCTTTAATAAGACATGTATTACAGTAAAAAGAAGAGTGGAAATATTTGACCATCTATTCTTCACTGGTCAAATACAAAGATTTCAGAATAGATCCATTTTAGATAGCATGGAGTTATAAAGATAATATTTAAGAATGCAAGAAAATACTCTACATTTGTTAGTGATATAACTTATATCAGGCATCTGCATGAAAAACCAACAAAATATGCATAATTTTTTAAACATAAACTGTAAATGACTTTTTCAGAATGAAACTTCTCCTGACTCAGATTTTGATTCTTGGCTTCTCAGTATTGCTGTCCTTTCCAACAGGTATGCCCATAAAGAACAGAAGTTAGTTAGATAGATATAGATATAGATATAGATATAGATATAGATATAGATATAGATATAGATATAGATATAGATATAGATATAGATATAGATATAGATATAGATATAGATATAGATATAGATATAGATACAGACAGACAGGATAAAGGAAATAATTGCTATCCTGACTCAGATTTTGATTCTTGGCTTCTCAGTATTGCTGTCCTTTCCAACAGGTATGCCCATAAAGAACAGAAGTTAGTTAGATAGATATAGATATAGATATAGATATAGATATAGATATAGATATAGATACAGACAGACAGGATAAAGGAAATAATTGCTATTCAGCTGATGGAAATTCAACTTAAAGTTGGGCAAGATTATCTAGGAACCTGGCCTTGAGAGAAAATAAACTGGAATTATGAGCTTTGTCTTATGAACTTATTAGAGGCATGAATGAAACGGCCTCTTTCTTTTTTAAAAAAATAACTTCCTTTGAAATTTTCCAATAGCTTTCTAGGCAAAACTACTTCATCAATCAGCAACTGACAAGAACAGTAACGTTTTTATACTACCAGTCAAATGTATATGCGTGAAGCGCAGTTGGAAAGCCATGTTTTAATCTCTGTACAAGAGTGTAAAAACACTGGGCAGTCAGATCCAGAGTCTCACTTCCTGCTGTACTGGTTGTCAATCAAATACTCACTGCTTGTGCAGAAGTGGTCATATTTCCTCTTGCTTTCAATGGAGATTGTTTTTAGCTGCCATATTAGTAATGCTTGATAGATATGCTCTAGGTCATTGCAGGAAACAAGATCCCATGGGCAGTGAGTTTGCCTAGCCTTCATCCCATGCCCTTTAACTATTCGACCAGCCTTCTCCAACTGAGTGTCTCTCAAACGTATTACTGTTTGACCCCCCAGAATTCCTAGCCAATGATCATGTGCTAGCTAGGAATTCTGGGAGTTGAAATAAAAATATTTGGAGGATATCAGGTTGAGGAAGGATGAGATAAACTAAATATATCCTCTCCCATTTAACCGCCGTCATTTCTAATCATGTCTTTCTGATGCTGTTTTCCTTATTTTAAAAGGATGGGATTTTGTTACACATGTTTGCTAGTACCAATTGTTAGGGGAATTTGCATTAATCCTCCTTGAAGTAGCTGAAGCCCAATTCTTAATTCTTCAGTGTGTTAAATAGGTGTCACATCAGTCTTTTTGTTCTAAGATTTATTGCCGTGTGTCTGATCTAGTTTCCCTACAACAGAGAAGGGAACTCTCAGGCTTGGTTGACAGACATGAGCTAGGTTGAAGTTTCCCCAAGATCTGACATGACACAGTTAGGACTAAACTTTCTTGTAGTGATTATAAACAGCTGACAGTCTCTGAACTGACTGTAACATCTCTTTCTGCATTTCCCTCCATGTAATAGTAAACTGCTGTTTCATTTTCCACGCTCACCTGTAAGTGGCAGTTGCCTGTTTACATTCCTCTGGGAATCTTACATTAAGATGAAACCCCCAAAAGAATGATCCTACAACAAATTTGATTGGGTGGGAGAAAGAGGGAAGACTTTTGACATGCAAAGAATAGAAGAAAATTATCTATAGTTCTCTTCTTATGAAGGTATAGTCATAGCAGATGGCAGCATATAACTGACCTTTGCAGACCTTGAAAAGACTAAGTAGGGTTGGACTTGGTTAATCCTTGAATGGAAAACCACAAGAAAGCCTGTAGGTTAGACTGAGAAGTTGAAAAAATATCTTGGCTGTAGCAAATCACTTCTACGTTGGTGCAAAACAACCACAGCAGCATGTATATTTCCATTACATCATTAAGAGTTGACCTCAACCCTAGGAGACCTTCTTTTTCTTATTAGACTGTGCATGTAGAATTTATTTTATTTTATTTTATTTTTTTTGCCTCATTCCCTCTTCTGTTTGCATTATGCAGCTGAAGGAATCACGTGTCATCAGTGTTATTCAGTTAAAAAGGACAATAAATGTAGAAAACCATCCACCTGCGATGTGTCTAAAACACAATTTTGCTTCATTCAAAGAATCTCCAGAGGTGAGAAACAGTAACGGAACAAGTTATACTAAGCCTACACTGGACAGAGCCATTTTTCTAAACAAATACTGTTTTCCCCAATCTGTTTCCTTTTCCATTCTGGTTGAGTGAGATACATAGATTAGGGTTCTCCAAAACAACTCCATGGTTCTAAGACTGACTTTGGAATTCATGAAGAAACAATGGAAGGAACTGCTCCTTAGGAAATGCAGAGTAAACAACCTACCTTGTTGTAGGAATAAAATGTGAGACTGTATAATTGCAATAAATAAATGAAAAATCCTAATCTCTCCCTTCTCTTTTCATTTACAGGAGGAGACATTAGGAAAATAAGCCAAGGTTGCACTTCTTATTGTGTAGATATTGTTCAGTTCACCAATGCCTTTATAAAGTATACCTTTTGCTGCAGGACAGATTACTGTAACAAATATAATGTTTGGCAATTTCTTTAACTTCAGTCTTGGCAGCAGCTGCTTCATTCCTTCTGCTACTGACAACTCATATGTGTCTTCCAAACACATGGGATAATAATGTGACATGGTGGTGGTGACTTCCTATTTGTTTATGTGGGTTGAAGGACCCATTGGGATACAGCTTTACAGTATGTCTTTCCAGTAAGCCTCTGTGCTTTAGGGTTTTGTACAATGATCTGTTCACCAGACTTAGAGTTAAGGGAATGAGGGGAGGAAGAAATGTAATTTTCAGACAAAAATGGCCTCTACACAGTAACCTTGGCAAATTGTCAAATCTTTTGCTGCTTTTGTTCATATCACTCCTACTGGGAGTGAATTGAATGAGTAAATATGAGCAATTTTGAATGGCAGAGTGTCATATCTGCACAGCAGCGACATAGAGCCATCACCAAATCACTCCAAGTTCACCAGGACTGATGCTTTCCTACCTGAGGCAAAAAGACAAGATGGGCCACCTTCTATGTGAAGAAAGGGCTTGGACCAGCAATGGCAAATTCTCTTCCACTGCATATGAATGCAAGAAGCAGGCATTGTAGGACAGGCTGTATTGTGCTCATAGTTCTCTTGAGGGTCACCAAAAACAATATAGATTTTTGTGGCACCTTAAAGACCAACCATTTTTTAAAGTATAAACTTTGATGGATTGCCCTTGAGTTCATCAGATAGGTGAGACGTTCCTCTGACATGGATATTGGATTTTGATAGCCATGATGGAGGTGGTGGTGGTGGTGGTAGGGAGCAGAAAATGAAGCCACCAAGACCATGACATTAGGAATGATTACTTAATAGCTCACGTACAGGAGGTTTCTTGGCCTTCCAGATGTTTTGAATAGCAGTTTCCACCATCCCAACAATAAAACATTGGGAAAGCAAGTCTAAGCCATTTCCAGATATAGGAAGTGCCAATTCATTTACAAAACAATTATTGGTTGTGACAAAGGCATTCTTACACTGACGAGCTGATTAGCATATTGTGTGATAAAGAAATGTTAATCTCTGTTTAATCCTTGAGAAACAATGTAAAACATCCTAATAAACTTGAGCTCCTTTTATTCTCTCCTTTCCACGTACATGATTTGTTTTTTGGAGTGAGAAATGAGTAATAATATATCTTGCTATGTCTTCTAATAAGATAATTCAAACTGGTTGTGTGGTTTCTCTGATTTCTTCTACCCTCGTCTTTCCCAAAATGCAGCAGGGAAAATTTACCATCCCTCTTCCCCGCCATTTCAAATGGTAAACATCCCCCTTTCCCCAGCATGAACGTGTATGTTTGTGTGAGATAAGAGTGTGGGGACAATCCCAGCTTTATTTTGTCAATCATCAATTACAACAGTTGCAAGTAATAAACACAGATTTCAGTATGAAATTGATGTGAAGTATTCCATTAACTTTGCTGTTCTTTTATAGTCCTTACAGTTTGATGCTCTTCCTGTGAGAGAAACCAATCTATATATTTCTGAAGCTCTCATTACTTATACTTTTATGATCTTGGAAAAGATGGTCCAGCAGTATCCTATACAGAAATCCAGAACAACTGCTGCCCCACTGAATCTCTACCACCATATCCAACCAGGGCATTAAGAGCTCGTGTTGTTGGTGGAAAGAAGACTCCATGGATGTAAAGATCCATTTACTTATGAAGTCTACTTCGAGGCACATATCATATTAATGGATGTTTAACCACAATTTGTTGAATAAGCCATAACTGACTGGCTTCACACAATATGATAAGCCAAAGCCAAACTAATATTATTGCTTACTGGATTGTTGGACCCATCTATCATTGTTTCTAATCCTGGAAATGATGGATAGAGCTGGAATAAAAAGATCTAGATTCTCAGAAATTAAGGGTCAGAAATAAAGGTATACGTTTGCAAAGAACCTTCAGAGATTTTATTATAATCTTATTGTATTTGAATTATTTTAAATATTAGCATGCTGTTTTTCAAAAAATGGAGCGTTTCCAGGGTGGCTTGCAACGCACTGAAATCATAATTTAATTTTAATTTTATAAAGCATTATGATTAGCATATAGAATACAAACAACAAATGCATAAATAGCACACACTGGCTGAACATCTCAATTGCTACGTGCAGAATTAATATATTCCAAGCTGCAGGAGAATAACCTTTTCAGTTGGAGAGAGTTCTGAGGGTGGAAAAAACGGAGTTTTTGAAGGATCATGTAGTCCACAAGTTTTTGATCTGCATACCTCTCAGAAATTAATGAATGAATCTGTATTCTGATCTTTGATCAGGCAATTAAGAATACAAGCTGATCACCACAAAAGGACAAGCAAATAACCAAGACAGTCAATACATATGCGGGGACATACTTTTTGATATAAATAAATCGAAAGAGAATTGAATGGCATGAAAGTATTATATTGTGTGTTTTCCACTTGCCTGTTGGCTTACAAAATGGAAATTCAAAATGGTCAGCCCATGGACCAAGTCATGACTTATTTTAGCCATGGTTTGGTCGGCTCCTGACTTTTAGGGAGGTGGTTCTGCCATTTCAGATGACCTTACTGAGAAATACCCAAGGAGCAGATAAGAAAGTTCAGAAAGCCACCTCACTTGCAAGCACATGTTGGATGTAGCCCGATGGATTTTCTTTGTGGGCTCAGAGATGCTGGTTCTATGCTTCAAAACTTCGGCTTGCGGTTCAGCTTCTTCCTGAACCACATGCTAGAAATGGGACCGTAGCTAGCTGAAAAGGGAGCTGCTGCTACTCTTGGAGTCCTTGTGTGAATCCAGGTGAGGAGTTCCTTGCAAATCAAAAAGCGCAGGCTGCTATTTTCTCTTTCCTTAATCCAGTTAACACTATTCAGCACTGATATCTGTGGGAGAGAGAAGGGGCAAACCATAAATTAAAGCATGCCCTGTGACATCACAACGCAAACATATTCTGCCCCTTTTGTAGCAACGTTGGCCCTTTGCATGCAAGTATGTAATGTGAGGAACTTGCATTCTGATGCCATCTCAGCTTGTTTAAGATCCTCCTGCCACTCAGGGGCACAAACTCGGATAACGTAAGTGCCACCTTTGGCTTTCTATAGCAACCGGCGTTGTCCAAATAAGAAAATGGTTGGCAGGTTTTGTAAAATACAATGGGGGCCTTACATTTCCCTAAGCTGAAAAAAAGATAATGATATTTTTGATCCACTCTCCATGAAAGGTTCTGGGTTCTATAAAAGGACACTGATGGGTCACACCTTCTGCACTCTCATTTAGTGCTGGCCCTGTTGAAAATAGCTAGTTGTGTACCTGATTCTGGATGGCAGACAGCGTCATGCAATGGGAATTAAAGATCTTTCCCTTAGCTCCTAGGGGACATTTATAGCAGATTCCCATTGTTAATCTGAATGTAACAAATGGCTTCCAAGGTTGTGCTGTTTGTAACCGGTTTTAGTAATTAAAACCAAAGTTAATTTGACTTTTCCTTTGTTTGCTCAAATAAGGTTAAACAAATACATTTAATCATAGAAAATTGGGGGAATGCATTGTTTCCAATTATTTTGAGGCAGAAAATTTATATATACGTATATATAGACACAAAAATGGGTTTAAGAAATGCTTTTTTTCCCCTTTAAATCCCAGGTTGTTCATCCAACACAAGAAAATTATGGAAAATGTTGGCACCATCCCCTGCAGCCTTCACCCTCCCAAACCTCATTATGTCCATCGTATGCTAAGTTAATGACTTTCGGGTTCTCGCTGTTTCCCCATAAAAGTGGTTCTGATGAGTGAACACCAAACTTCTGAACGTGGGTGTTGATGTTATCATACCCCACTAAACCTACTTACTTAGGGTTAGCACTCCTACTGAGTGATACCACACTGTGTACCTATCACAATGTACTAAGAGTGGGAGAAAAAAGAAGCAAATATGGAACCTTTGGGCCCACTTAATTCTAATCATTGATAGCATTATGACCTTTCTGGAATCTTGGTTTGCTGCATGAGGACTTTACTGAAGATTCAGTCAGAGAGTTGCTGAATGGAAAAGTAAGGTGGGGTAAGAAAATCAGCAGCACCTCTAGCTTAGCTGCTATCTTGCATAACGTGTGATGAAATGCCATTTCCTGGCCCACTTACAAAACAATCATCAGGCACGTTTAAGATCCCCCAAATCATTGTAGCTTCCCAAAAATCATTGTAGCTTCTTTCACAATTCCATTATATTGTAGTCTGATGTTATTACTATTATAATTTTCAATTCACTAAAGTCACAGCTGTGACTCATCTTGAATGCAAGCAACACTGACGGATGATGAACAAACTTCTGATTTATGTGCTCTGGATGCTTTTCAACATGTCCACTGGTAAGTCTTTAAACTTCAGCCCCTAAAGAAAAAGTGGAGAATCAAAAAAAAAATTTAGATCTTGAAATATAATCAAAGCATTTTATAAATCAATAGGAACATTTCACTTCCAAGACATCACTTGGATTTTGCATTTCTACATATAACAATAATAACTATTTATCTTGTGTAAAGTATGACAGTGAAAACAAATTTCATTAGGCAATTAGTTAGGTGGGAACAGAGGAACAACATTTAGGTGAATTAAGGCAATCTTAATTTTCAATAGTGTCATATTGTGATTTTGTTATTGTACTTTAGCATTACTTTGAAGCTGTTTCAAACAAACACATTTGTTACACATTACATAGGTTAAACAAACACATTTGGGACAGCAGTTAAGGAGGGCAAAGTGGAGGAACGGTAGACTGGCTTTAGAGCATTTTGGCTAGCTTTTGCAAATGGTATAGTAGAATTCAAGAAAGGAATTGGCTTAGAATTAACTTGCTGTTGGTCTTCTCAGACATGATTCCATGTATCTAAAAATGTATGTCTTCATGTGAGGTAGGTACAAGTGAGCATTCTGGACAGTATAGGTTTTATCTTCCTGGTTTAGATGCATTTATAGCTAGTAATGCTTTGGAAGTCTGGATATAACCACCCTTCCCTTGATTTTATGGCTTTTGATGTTCGTCCACACCCATTTATTGTGGTTTTTCCCTAACCTCTTTTTGCAGCAAATGCTGCCTGGTGTTACCAATGTGACAAGCCAATTCCTACTCTGCCATGTCCTGAAATGGAAGAATTCTGCTGGGCACGCATGCTTCACCATGAACCTCTATATCCATAAGAGGGCAGGAAAAGAACTTTGGCATTAACTACAAGAAGAACACCCTCCAGGCTGGCCCTGAAAAAGTTATGTCTTCATCTTTTCAATGAATATTTTTTTTTCTTCTTAAGCAGCCCCCCTGATTATGAAGGATTCTGAGGTTCCTCATGCCATATAACAAGATAACAAGTGGGATGCTTATGATCCACTTTTTAATGATTTCTAGAGCTTATTCTATGTTGTTGGGTATCAATGGGGCAATTTTCCACTGTTTTTAGGATAACTTTTGTGTTTGAAAGTACAGGTACCCTTTCATCCTACTTGTAGAGCTCTGACCTCTGCTGGCATTCAACCTTTGGCAGCACAATTTCAAACTTTAGATTTTGGGGTGGGTTTAAGGGGAGAAATGGACAGAATTTACCTCTGAAGCCTTCTATTCATCTCTCTATCCTTAACACCCACAAGCTTAAACAAAAAAATCAGTTGAAAAATTTTAGCCTAATCTTCTAACATCTTCACACCATTACTGGATGACTTCTTATAGCCCTCCAGAAGATCAGGAGGCTGAGTTGCAGCCTCTAACTCCTCAAATGTTCCCCATCCCTATTTTAAGGCTTCAAACATTAAAGCAACTTTTTCATACCTGTCTAAAATCTTCTTTAAAAAGAGAATAATAGATATCCATCCACTATAGCACCAGATGCAAGAAAAATGCCAGGAAAAAAGTTTCTGCCATGGCTAGAGAAATTTTATTTGTTCTTATCTAGAAGTTATGTCAATAACAACAACAACAGTTATGGGTGCCTTAGGTGCAATCCCAAAATATCTGGACCAGCACTTGAAGACCATTGGCATTGACAAAATCGCCATCAGAATTGCAAAAGGTAGCTTTACTTGGAACAGCTCACATCCTGCGACGATACCTTTCACACCATCAGACAACAACATCTGTCTATCCCACGTCCTTGGGAAGGACTTGATAGGTGGATAAAAATGCCGTATCCAGTCTAAACATCTGGCTGACTGTGCAACCAACCATAATAAGGGATGCTGGTGTGTGTATGT